AACCAAAATCGCTTTTTACCATTAAAACCATTTGGGAAGGTAAAAAAAAAAACTAATGGTAAAATTACAACTACACCCTTCATGGATCAAAATGAGCCACATATAGGTGAAATTGTAAATTTACTAAACTGGGTGAGGTATTTTGGTTATTTAATTGTGATGTGACAGCATAATTAACTATTAACCAAAAAAGCCAAAAGCAGCTTTTTACAGGAAATTCTATTTCCACACAGTACTTCCTCCCGTTCTACCTCTTTTCTCAATATACACACTAAATAAATTTAAATTATCAACTTTCACTCAATACACATCCTACCATACCAAAAATACCCTTACCATCTTCATCCTTCAAACCCTAACCCTAACAAGCCACCACCGTTGTTGCTGCCGCTGAAGGCACCTCTTCCCCTCCCTTTCACTTCTAGTCGTTACCTCCACCCCTCCCTCCACCCGCCGGCGTCACTTCCGCGACCTCCATCGCCAAAATCAATCTCTGATTTCCTCTCTCTCTTAATTGCGAAGTAGGGCTGTTACAGCGCCACCATCGCGACATCAACCCTCTCTCCTTGGGATCTATCCCTCTCTCTCTTTCTCTCTCTCACAGTCGTGAAGGGGGCAAAAAGTAGAGGTGGCGGCGATTTTCTTGGAGGCAGGGAGAGACAAAGGCGAAGGAAGATCGCGGTGGTAGACAATGAAGGTGGAAGGAGATCGCAGTAGTGCGCCGATCTTTTTCTCAGGCAAATGGGGGGTCGCAGTGGTAGGAAGAGGAATGAGAAGAGTGGAGGAGGGGAGAGGTGGCGACCATGGATGGTGATGGTGGAAACTGATGGTTTGAGAGAGTTAGAGTTAGGGTTTTGAGAAATGAATATTTTGGTAATTTAATTTTAGGACAAAAATGTAATAAAAAAAATCATTAAGTGTGTAGAAAGAAAGAAAGTAGTGTGTGGCAATAGGGCTCTGTTTGGAAGAGTTTTTGAAATGTATTTCTACCACTTGATTTCCACGTAATGTTTGGTTACAGTTTTCAAAAATTAATTTCACATCCATTTTTGAAAACTCTTTCCAGGCGAAAAAATTTAGGCTAATCGATCATCCCCTGAACGTCCAGCCGGTTGATCGGAACAGTGCAATTTTTTTTATTTTTTTTAACAATGGGCACCTATTATTTTTTATATTTTAAATAAAAAATTCAGAATTTTTAAAAAAATTTTATGAGTTTTAAATAGAATTTTGAGTTGTATGTTTGGTTATGAGTTGTAAGTTTTTATATCAAATATCATATGCCACATCAAAAATTTCTCACTCAATTCAAAACTCTTTTCAAAACTCATTCACCAAACAAATTTTTCACACTCAAATCATAATTCCAAAGCTTACAAACTAAAAATACAACTCCTATTCTTAAACCATATTTAGAAAACTCTACCAAACACTACTAGAATTTTTCGTTTTTTATTAACTTCCCAAATCACTTTCTAAAAAAATCAAAAAACTTGATAAAAAATTAAAAACTAACTTTTAACCATCTTTTTAAAACATCTAAAAATGTTGTCACCACATTAAAACGCTATCCTAAATTTTTGTGAAGACTCGAGGGTTGGTCTGCCCAATTTACACCCCTGCGTCTGTCCACACACACCCCTCTTTCATTCTGGAGTGCCCTGCATGCCTGCTCGATTCTCTCCATCGCAATGACCACAACCACGACCACTCCAGGACTTCCATTGCAGTTATCGTTGGTTGGCGACCACAATCACCAGTTGCATCATTAAGGAATTACCATCCCATTACACCTACTAGGTCGCTCTCTCTCTTTCTCTCTCTCTCTCTAATTCATCCAAGTCATAAAAGAATCAAGACAATTAGGGATGGCAACGGGCTGAGGCGGGGCCGGAGATCACACTCCCCGTCCCCGATCCCCGATGGTGAAAATTTCTCCGACCCCGACCCCGATCCCCTATGGGGAACCTATCACCGTCCCCTCTCCTGACCCCGAAAATTCCCCGGCATCACCAACATCATCATCAACAGATCTATCATCATCGTCAACTAAACAAATTCAAACTACACAAATCTAGAATCATCATCATCCATTAAACAGATTCAAACAACACAGATCTAGAATCATCATCATCCACTAAATAGATTCAAACAACACAGATCTATTGATCAAAAAAAAAAAAAAAAACACAGATCTAAAAAATGAGATCAGCGATGGAAAGACTTGAGATCAACGATGGAGAAAATGAGATCCGAGGTTTTTGTCCTAAGTCGATGTCGTCATCTGTAGATTGGAGTCTAGACCAGCAGTGTTAGTGGTGTCGATGACTAGTATGCGATTAGCGGCTGAAGAGGAGAGATGAGAGAGCAAACGAGATGAGAGAGAGAGAGAGAGAGTGGTGGCGGTGTCACTGTGTCGGTGACTGTGAGAGTGAGAGAGAGAAGAGTCGGTGACTGTGTCGCCATGTCGGTGAGAGTGAGAGAGAGAAGAACGAGAAAGAGAAAGAGAGAGTGAGAGAGAGACGAGAGAGTTAGAGAGAGAGAATGAGAGTTGAGAGAGTGAGTCAGTGAGAGAGTTGAGAGAGTCAAAAAATGAGCAAGATATGTATCTATATATATATAATACAACTAAACACACACAGGCGGGGATTTTTTAGGGAAATGTCGGGGTAGGGCCGAGGCCGGGGCCGGAGAACCTATCACCGTCCCCGGCCCGAAAATCATCGGGGATGTAGTTTTCAATACTAGCCCCAGCCCTATGGGAAATAATGGGGTGGTCCGGGTCTCCATCGGAACGGGTTCATATTGCCACCCCTAGAGACAACCCTCCACACCATTTTATCAATGACCTCCAATAGCATGGGAGGGATTTTTATGAGACAATAATGGGCGAGTTGATGTCGATCGGTATTGCAAATGTCTTTCATTCTGTGGCACGAAATCCATCATTGGCTAAACAATCATTTGGTTATGCCATTTTGGGCTAATTGTAATTTTTGCCTAATTTATTAGGAAGATTCAATGTTGTTAAATATGAATCAAATCCAGATCTCAAAACAGGAATGGTGTTTTTAATTTTGGTTCTTTAACTTTTGAACAATAGAATCACAGTCATGTCTGAATTCGAGTTGAGATATCACGAATTTGATTTGAATTCTAGATTTTATTTTCATCGACTGGCTTTTGACGCTAAAATTCATTCGAGAGTAGTTTGGTTTTTTACTTCTTCTTCTTCTTTCGTTTGCATACTTTGATTGAAGGTTTGGGACGATATTCTAGAATTTGAACTTGACGATTCAACTTTCAATACGTGCCCTTCATTCCTCTGCATATGATTTGCTTGTCCGGAGGCTATTTGAGACCAAGTTTATACGTGTAGTGTTTTGCCAAAAGTTCATAAAGTTTGTGATAGTAAAACTTAGTATAAAGCTCTCTTTCTTCATCCAGGTTGCTTCTGGAGAACTCCTCCAAGTCATGGTCTCTTCAATTATTTTTACTAGTGGAACGAATATTTTTTATTCAGAGTTCTTGTCAAGAAAGACGCTAATGCTGTAATTGGTTCACTGTAATGAGTTGGAATGGAATGATCCTTAACTGTCACATAGAATGACCATTCCCTTGAAATGTTGAATGATGATTCCATTTGTAATGTGTTTTGTCATTATTTTTTTAGTCAACCAAACATGAGAATGGACATTTTGATGGAATGATCATTCCATTTTGTTTCATTCTAGTGAACCAAACCAGTGTCGGCCTTGAGATTTAGGGGGCCTAAGGCGAATTTCGAAAATGAGACCCCTCTTACATTGAAAAAAAAAAAATTCATGGATAAAACGATAAGTTACAACTTTTTTATTTGTTTGTAGTCACAAAAAAATCTACTTACACATATAATCATTAAAATTATAAACAAAACAATTTAATAAAACAAAATTATGGCAAAAAAATTAGGAAAAAATTATTCAATTAAAACTGATATGGACCTAGGTAAAAAAATTAGGGCAAAATTATTTATTCTACTAAAATCTAATAGATAAAGAAGGTAAAAAAAAAAAAAATAGAGCCCTTATATTGTATGTATTGTTCTTCTTGGGCCTAAACACTTTTTTTTTTAATATATATTTTCATTTTAATAAATATGGGCCAAATTACAGTTATAAATAAATATGCGCTAAACCATACATGGACCCAATGAAATATTTTGGGGCCCTTTAAATTGATCCTTAAAAAAATAAAATAAAATTAGGCCTATAATATTTTACTAAATTTGGGAGCCCTATTTTTTGGCCAAAATTTTGGAGCCTAAGGCACAAGCCTTATTGGCCTTAGGCTAGGGCCGGCATTGAACCAAACGTACCCAAAGGTTTCTAATTATGTACACCATGATTTAGTTTCTTATATCTGTGATAGCAATTGAAGGGGCTAAGTATAAATGGAATGGGTTCAAGCCTTGAGCCGGTCCAAACCATTAAGCCCAAACCCATATGGTCATCTCATATAAGCCAAGCACCTACACAAATCAAGTCATATTTAGCCTAGGTCCACATGGACCATCCTCCCAAGTCCTCAAGCACTTGTGCCAAGCCTAATACAATAAGGCTAGCTCATGTAAGGTACTGAGATGGGCCGAACCATATGGGCCAAGCCCATCAACAGAACCGATGTGGGTTGAACACACACAAAGTCACTCGAATGGGCCAGCCCATCTCCACAAACCAACTCAATGAAGGCCAAACAAGGTCTGGCCAAGGAACCAAGCAGACCAAGCTGAGGCCTCCTCAGATAGGCGTGGAAGCTGTGATGTGAGCACGCACATGTGCAAAGTGCCACCTCAGTTGGTCCTCCCTCCACGAGAAAGAATGTGCACTTGATGATGACTGCTTAGGTAGGCATGTGGCATGTGCAACCATCGATAACCAACTTAGTGGTCCCCACCTTGAGCTATGATAAAGAGAGCCTTGAGGCACCCAAGCTCCCTCATCCTTACGTTGGAGAGCAAGTCAAGTCATCTATATAAAAAATACACTCACACTCATCTCATTGCAAGGTAATTGACTCCAAGCTATCACACATACATACAATCTCTCCATTTCCCTCTCTACACCTAGAGAGGCTTCACCTTCTTTTTCCACTCCTAACTTCCACGCCAGAGGGGTTTTTCGACCAACTCCGATTGGGCAGCTCTTACGGTTCTTTCCCTTTTGCAAGCCCCTCAGTTCCTAAATAGTCAGTCATAGAGACCCAACTCATTCATCTAGTGTCGAAACCAACACATACAACAATTATGGTGATGGTTCCTGTTCCACGAAGTCGAGAAATGGGTATTGTCCCATTCCTCCATAGTTTGATTTCCCAGTGGCATTTTCTTACACTTCGTTTGGATGGAGGGGTTTGGTGAGAAAAGACAAGAAATGGTGAGAATATGAAACTCCTTCACTTGTTTGGATAGTTAAGTAGGTGAGAAATTATGAGAAAATGATTCTCACCAAACCTATGTTTTGTTTCTCACCAAAGTGATGAGATTTGGTGGGAAAAGAATATGGTTTAATGAAAGTTTTTAAAAATACTAAAATTACCTTTATAAAAAAACATGGCTTATTAATATGGAAGGTTATTTTGGTAAAATGAAACACAATAATTTTCTTACTTTTCTCTTATTTACTCTATCCTAACAAGATAGGTGAGAAACCATATTCTCTTCTTTTTTATTCGTCTAAACATAATGGTAAGAAACTATTATTATTTCTTTTCTCACCTCATCTCACAATCCAAACATAGTGTTAATACTGTTTTCACGTTTTTTATAGTTCATTCATCTCTTCTTTTGGGTAATGTGCGTTCAGGTGCGTCAATAATTTGCATATATCTCCATCTTGCTGTCATTGCTGTGAAGAAGTTGGTTCGCATTCTGCTACAGAGGTTAGTTGTCAGTCTAATGGCAACAGTGGTAACATTCCTCAGCCTTGCAATATTGGGGGGTCTTCGTACCAGGGAAACAATTACACTGATGTGTCAGGCCTTCATTTGTGGGTGGATGTATGTATGTCAATGAAAATGGGCAAATGTGTGGCCCTTACATTGAGTAGCAGTTGTTTGAGGGTTTATCCACTGTTTTCTTGCCTAATGAGCTTCCTGTATATCCCATTACAAACGAGACTTTGATGAACCCCGTACCAGTTTCCCGACCATGTTAAACTGGCTTTGCATATTTAACTGCGGGTATCTCTGGGACAATTGGGCCCACAGATTGCTTTGCATATTCAATTAGAGATTTAGCCACAAACAAACCACTATTTGCTGCTCGGACAAGTGCTTATCCTGATTGTCAGTCAGCAATCCAACCATGCCTCAACTTCAGCAGTTTTAGCACCAACCAACAAATGCCAACCTTCACCTCAGCTACTTCACCTACATCATATCCACCACAGGTATTACGACTTTTGTTGGTCAATCCATTCTTATTTCTTCTCATTTCTAAAAAATGGTCCTTTTATTTCTACCCATCTTTATGAAGAAGACCATTAAAATGTTATGTGTTAATTGGATATTCATTCTTCTTCTTTGTTAATTTTTTTTTATGTATTTAATTATACTTATTAAATCACAGTTGGATGACAAATGGTCTTGCTTCTTTGAGGATGATGACGGCAAGAAACATGGACCATACTCTCTCATGAAGCTCTATTATTGGCATCACTATGGTTATCTTTGCAATTCATTAATGGTAAGTTATAAGACTGAGACAACGTGATGATGATCGTATGCGGAGTTTAATTTGTGGATATGGCGTGATCTTGCTCATGGTCAGCAAGTTATATTGTATTGGTAGAATTGTGCCACAACAGTTGATATGTATGTAGGAGATCAACCCAAGTTGAGTTGGCTACAGAGATTCTGGCCATGTGAAGGAAAGTAGCAGCCAACTACATGGTGGGGAAGCCATGTGAGTTGGCCATGAGGCCATGAAGCAATCTGGAAAGCCACCGAAATGGGCTGGCAGCCAGCTCATTTCAAAGGGTGCCTCTTGCCTTTGTAATCTCTATATATAGAGAAGCTAAGGAGAGTTGAATACAGGGCATCATAGCAAATCAGAGAGTGTGAGAGAGTGTGTTATATAGAGAGACAGTGAGTTGAGAGTGTGTAATCTCCTCCATTTGTTGATATATAACAACATCGCTCCCGTGGACGTAGGCCGGTTTGCCGAACCACGTTAAAAGTCTTGTGTTTTTGCTTGTGAGTGTCCCCTGGTGTGCCCAAGATCCGCAACAACACCTACACCCTATCCTTATCCTCATCCTTCTCATCTTTTCGTGTAGTGGGAAGAAATTTACAATGGCAGGAAAAGGCGCAAGTTTCATGATTGAGCCTTTTAATGGCAGTAATGACTTTACCCTGTGGCAGCAAAGGGTGAAAAACATTTTAACACGAGAAGGTCTGGTGAAAGCTCTTCTCAAAAAGTCCAACAAACCGGAAGACATAAAGGATGACAAGTGGGAGGAGTTGAGGGAATTGGCAAACAGTACAATTCAGTTGTATCTCGGGAACAACACACTCCGGGAAGTCATCAGTGAAGTAGATCCGGCGGAGCTATGGGCAAAGTTAGAGATGAGGTACAAGTCAAAATCTTTGACAAACCGGTTATCTCTGAAGAGGCAGCTATATACACACGTGTCAGACACGTGTCAGACACGTGTCAGCCCAGTCAGCCTGAGCCGCTGACCAAGCCGAGTTGACCAGCCGTCAGCCGCGTTGACCGCGCCGCCGATCCTCCGTTGACCGCGCCGCCTGCGCCGTTGACTGAGCCGTTGACCAGCCGTCGTCGGGAGGAATTATCTGGTGCTTCTCAGGCGCACCAGATTCAGCAGATCTGAACCGTTGAAACTGTTTTGGCTAGATCTAGGCCATTCGGAGTCCGTTTTTTGGCGATCCAATAGTACGTTCCAACTATTTGGAATATTTCGGACCCATCCGTACGGTCAGATTCTTACATCGAAATTTCTTTAAAAAGGGAAGAAATTTACAATGGTAGGAAAAGGCGCAAGTTTCATGATTGAGCCTTTTAATGGTAGTAATGACTTTACCCTGTGGTAGCAAAGGGTGAAAAACATTTTAACACGAGAAGGTCTGGTGAAAGCTCTTCTCAAAAAGGCCAACAAACCGGAAAACATGAAGGTTGACAAGTGGGAGGAGTTGAGGGAATTGGCAAACAGTACAATTCAGTTGTATCTCGGGAACAATACACTCCGGGAAGTCATCAGTGAAGTAGATCCGGCGGAGCTATGGGCAAAGTTAGAGATGAGGTACAAGTCAAAGTCTTTGACAAACCGGTTATCTCTGAAGAGGCAGCTATATACACTTAGAATGCCAGAAGGTGCGAACCTCACAGAACATCTGGACGAGTTCAATAGGATCACAATGGAATTGGACACCATTGGAGACAAGACCCAGGAGGAAGATAGGGCTATGATCTTATTGGTCTCTCTACCTGCATCATATGAGCATCTCAGGACAACTCTATTGTACGGGAAGGATGCTCTTGGACTGGATGAGTTGATTGCTACGCTCATTTCTCATGAGTCGATGAAGAAACAGGAAGGTAGCAGTAGCAAACACCCAGAAGAAAATGCCATGGTTGTCTCAGAAAATGAGCAAGGCAGAGGTAGGTCCAATGATAGACGGGGTAGATCCAAATCAAGAGGACGTTCGCAATCAAGGTCAGGCTTTAGGAGAAAGTGTTATTACTGTGATCAGGAGGATCACCTCATAAAAGACTGTGCAAAGCTCAAGGAGGACAAAGCACAAAAGGAACAGGCGAGCTCATCAAATGTCGCTGCTGCTGTAAATGCTAAGGATGAGTATGCATTTACAGTTTCGTCGAGTATGACGAAACCTGACTGGATCTTAGATTCTGGAAGCACATATCATATATGCATGGATAAGAAACTTTTTTCTACCTACCAAGCCAAGGATGGAGGTATTGTTCGAGTGGCTAACAACACTGTGTGTAAGATTGTTGGCATGGGAACAGTACGGCTGAGAATGGAAGATGGAAAAATTTTCACGTTGGATGGAGTCCGACACGTGCCAAGACTGAAGAAGAATCTAATTTCCTTAAGTATGCTAGACATGAAGGGTTATAGCTTCACATCTAGCAAAGGAAATCTCAAAGTCATCCATGGAGATACGGTGATGCTACATGGACGACTGGAGGGGAATCTGTACAGGCTTGTGGAGAAGGTTGTGACAGACGGAGCTACTGTCACTTACCGGGCAAGACGTACAAGACATGCACAGAAGAGACATAGGGCCCAGCAGACATGGCAACCAAAGTGTACAAGAACGCATGGAGGCAGTTCGGAGGTGCACAAGACGGAGCCATTGCGGCCAATTTTAAAGACAGCTCAGAGCAAAGAGACCAAGACAGCAAAGCATGTCCCAGGGAAGAAAGTTTCTTTTGCTCCTGAATTAGAGACATATTGGGATCTCTCCAAGACTGGATGGAAGGGAGAGATGCCATCTCAAAGAGTTGCAAAGTAAGCTTTGCATGGCACCCCAGTGAGGGGGTGCCAGGCACTCCAGGCAGGGGGTGCTATTATGGATCACCTCATATGGGTTGAAGGGGTGGTTTCTAGGAGATCAACCCAAGTTGAGTTGGCTACAGAGATTCTGGCCATGTGAAGGAAAGTAGCAGCCAGCTACATGGTGGGGAAGCCATGTGAGTTGGCCATGAGGCCATGAGGCCATGAAGCAATCTAAAAAGCCACCGAAATGGGCTGGCAGCCAGCTCATTTCAAAGGGTGCCTCTTGCCTTTGTAATCTATATATAGAGAAGCTAAGGAGAGTTGAATACAGGGCATCATAGCTGAGAGAGTGTGTTATATAGAGAGACAGTGAGTTGAGAGTGTGTAATCTCCTCCATTTGTTGATATATAACAACATCGCTCCCGTGGACGTAGGCTGGTTTGCCGAACCACGTTAAAAGTCTTGTGTTTTTGCTTGTGAATGTCCCCTGGTGTGCCCAAGATCCGCAACAATGTATGTTCTTAAAAATAACCAAAGAACCTTTAGACTTTGTGGTGCGTTACAATTTTATCTTCTGGGATATAAATTGTTGTGTTACAGTCCAATCAGCTTGTGCCAATGCTTATGCATATAATGCAATTGTTTGTACAATATTCATGCCATATGACTTCTTTTGGGGAAAACATGTTTTGATTGTTTTGGTGATTTTTGTTGGAATTTTTTTATTCAGTCATCACGGATCTCTCCACAACACCCTCTATGTGGCTGTGGAATTATCAATCTTCCTTGTTTTCATTGAATGTGTTTTTCTTTCTGATAGTGGAAATGTTAGTTTTGCTTTTGGACTCACCGCAGAGCTATTGAAGCATCTTTACCTAATCAAAGTAACAGTGGATGTTTGAGCTTATTTTATGCAATCATTATGATATTGTATTTGAAAGCATTTTTCTCTCGAGCTTTTAGCAAGACTAAATAGTTATGAAGTCTGCCGCTGGTATGTTTTGGCTATTGTGTACCAGTCATTGTCAAATTCTGGTTACCTTATTTCTCAAAATTAATGTTGCCTATTTGTCAGGTTCACGATATTCTTCTTCAAGGGTGGGTGTGTTGCGAAATCTGTTTAGAGGTCCTTGACTTGTTTCAAGCTTGAAGACCAGTGGGTTGAATTGAAATATGAGGAGCAATTTGTTGTGGAAATATTTCTTTCTTATTTTTTAGTGTACGGGGAGCAAATATTCAAGCGAGCCCGTATTCCTTTCTTCCAAGCTCCGTTTCTGTCCGATCACCTGAAAGCATAATGTGGGTGAGCTACCCGGCGGTGTGTGGCTGGAACACCCCTCCGACGGTCAAGTTAGAACACACACCAGGGGATAGAGAGAGAGAGAGGGGGGGTGTTTTAGTGTAAGAAAATCCTTACAAAGTGTTCGTCTCTCGCGTATGGGGGCGCAGACATGCTTATATACCCTCTGTGCCCCATATCTACTCCCAGTCATCCCCTGACACGTGGCTCCACTATCCCATCTGTCAGCATAAACCTTGCTGAACATCACCTAACCTCAACTGCCTGCCTTCACAGCTGGAGCTCGGCAGCCGAGCTGCTCTATCAACAGCCATACTGCACTTCAAGACCAAGTGCTTCCAATAACCGAGCTTCGTTTCAGCCGTGCTCGACCGCATTCCGGCGACACCGAGCATGGGATTGGTCATTCCGGTCAACCAAAGGCCTTCCTGCCGAGCTTCAGGCACGAATCTTCACGCCGAGCTATGGGTGCGCGCCTTCCGACCAAGCAACGCACGAACCATGAAGCCCTTCTAGGCCGCGGACGTCTAAGCCGAGCTCTCACTTGACTGGCCTTCATACCAAAGAGCCCAAGTAGCTCGGTTCCGCAGGCCCTTTGCCATTACTGAGTAAAACCACGGCACAATCTTGAAGCCAAATACCTCGGCCCAATCTTGTTTGGCCGAAACTAGATCATAAATCTCCCTCTCAATTGCCCCTTAATTCCGTCCGTGCTAGCGTGACTGGGATTACATTACAAGGTCCGCTCGGTGACTTCCCTCTTGGCGAGCAAGATCAGCTCGGCCAAGAAACTCCAAAGAAGGCGAGCAAGGTCCGCTCCGCCACTTCCTTCTTGGCGGGCAAGATCAGCTCGGCCAAGGAACTCCAAAGAAGGGGAGCAAGGTCCACTCCGCGACTTCCTTCTTGGCGGACAAGATCAGCTCGGCCAAGGAACACCAAAGAAGGCGAGCTAGGTCCGCTCTGCGACTTCTTTCTTGGCGGACAAGATAAGCTCGGCCAAGGAACTCCACAGAAGGGGAGCAAGGTCCGC